AACCGTAATCATATATAATTATACATATATAGCTCTTGTTTGATCTTCATTATTGTCAAAATACATTTTCTCTATTCTTTTTCAACTACACATTTTTCAATAAAATAATATTACACGCAAATTTAAAATTTTTCCTTATGTTTTAACCACACATTCTCTATTAATCTACTATTTCAAAATACATTCTTACAATAAAATGGAATTCAAACAAGCTTATAGACTTATGTAATTGTAGTAATACTATATTTGAAATATATTAGTCATAATTATATATTATTTTACATACATAGACGCATGTAATTATAGTAATCACATAGTTTAAATCAATAAAATTGCACTTGCAGCCCCTTGGCTATTGGTTTATATGTGATTTGGTCATCTAACTTTCATATTCTTACACTAAGGTCCTAATTTCATAATTAAAGACTATGAAGAATTTTGGATATTACATCATGAAGTTGTTTTAAATTTAGTGCTGTTACTCTAGCTTTCACCTTTTTGAAACATATTGTTATTGGGGAAAAAAAGACATATATGGCGAGGCCAACAAAAAGCCGCAATGTAACGAATTTCATTTTCACTAACACTTGTTACAATTTCTTTCATGAAGAAAATCACCGGTAATTGTTTTCCTATTGTTTGAATTTATATATTTTTTTAATCATTATTATTGCTTGCATTGCTAATCTATATTGAGAGGAATTTAGCAAAAATTGTTGAAGAGGAAATTACATGTAATACTCATTTCAAAATAACAACTCATATTTTTAAACCATAATTATTGCATTTTACAAAGTAAAAAGGGAAAACAATAAACAACCATACATCAATCAAATTTCTTGAGAGTTTCTACTGCGACACCAAATAGGCAGTAATTTAATTTTTTCAATTAATGTTCAAAATCCCAAAATTTTTCGCCTTTATCAAAGAAAACCCTCAATTCAACATAACCATTTAACACCAAAATCAAAATCTCAAATCCCTTAATCTTGAAAATCACAAAATCAACCCACATAGCACTCACCATTTCGTACATTATACTGTGAAATTCATTTTCTATATATCAAATCAATGATCTTTACCATTGAATATTGAAGATATTGGATTTTTATCAATTGATATATAAACCCTTCGAAGGAATAGAAAAATCACAATCCTCAGCAAAGTTTAGCACGCAGATATGGAGTTGGGATGAGACCAGGGCCAGTCCTGTGATTGTAGAGGTTTAAGACGAATTCCATAAATTAGGCCTTTGATGAAATCGACATAAATGCAAAATTCAACGGCATATCATGTTTAACATTAAAATAACCATTAAATATATTATAGAAAATATTTATATTATAATTTAACAAAATCAATCATGTTTCAAACAATTAATTAAATAACCAATTATATAAGCCAACCAGACAACAATTATATAAGGCGACAATGTTTCAAACATTTCCAATATCTTTAATAACAAGTTAAGGCAAGCCATTTGCTTATGTGAGAAGTGGAATTTCAACAATAATTGTGAAATTACACCATTGACAATTCCACCGTCATAGCTCACGAGCCTGAAATAAAAATTTAAATAAAATCAAAGATTTTAATCATAGAGTGAAAGAACTTGTGCCGAGTGTGGAACTACAAATTAAGAAATCAGCATAATTGACTAAAGATTTATACACTACTTTAAATTACACATTATCAAATTTAAGTAAAATTAAATTTAGGGCATTATCGCGTTGTAAGATGTTATCCAAATAAATTGATTCAATTCCTTCAATTAATACCGTAATAGATCTGCATATGATTTGACAATAGAAGAAATTCATAAATGTGTCTTAACATGCCTAATGCCTTAGGTAAATACAAATTTATGAACAAAACAATGGATAAAATATGGTTGGAAGTGAAGTAACTGATCATGGTGTCCAACTGGTAAATGGTAATCATGCCAAAATACAGACAATCAAATGAATTATATACAATCCCCTAATTCGCTGGTTTCCCAGAAGAGAAGACAATGCACTTTTATTAGTTTATATTTGAGTATTTGACATTTTGATTCTTCATTTTCCTTTCCAGACAGAATCCCAATTTTTATGTACCATAGGAACCAGATGAAGTCACCACTAAAAATCTAAAATCTATGAAATTCTACAAATCTAACGATCACATATATATAATAAAGACAACCCAGTTGATAAAATTCATCAAATCAATGGAAAAAGTTTAGAACTGAACCGAAGAATCAAGAATGGAGACAAGAGTCAAGACAACTAGAGTTACTACTTACTAATACTAGACAAGGAGTTGCTGCCTTGCTGAGCGGTGGAGCCTGGAGGCTAACGATGGTGTATGGGCAGAGGAGGACTGACGATGGCGAAGTGAGTGTGAGTCAAGTGACTGGAGTCGCAGAGACGCGATGAGGCGACGATTACAAACACTGAGCAAGCCCTTGGATTGAATAATTTGAATCTCACATTTGGGAATTTTGGGTAAAAGTATTGAATTGGATATATAAATGGATTGTGGGCTGTTGTTTGAAATTGGGTTTAAGCGGGGGCTCTTCTAGGATTGTTTGAGGGAAAAAAAAAAAATTATGGGCAGAATTGGGCCCCTTATAGTCTTGGGCTTGAGGCGCAGGCCTCATTTGCCTCGCCTCAGAACCAGGCCTGGATGGGATAGAAAGTGGATAAAAGATACTTGGGATGGAATGAAATGGATTGGGATCGGATCAGAGATCTTAAACGATTATGGTTCATGGCCTTTATGAGTAGGAAAGGATAGAGGTAGCATTGAGTTATATTATGGATGTGGTGTTGAAGGGAATGGTGGCAGCACCAAGGACGAAGTTATATGTGAATTCCATGAACACAAAATTGAAAAAAGGAAGAAGAGGTTGAGGAGATAGGATCAATGAATAGAAGCATTTCCATATATGATATGATAGAAGAACAAAAGGGGTTGAGAAATACATACTACTTTGTGATATATATTTGTGTTTTCATGGGCAACTCAAGCAGCTTTTTTTATACATTAGTGCAAATTATGGATACCCAAGAAGCCTTTTGATATGTATTTATTCTACTTAATTCTGGATACAGAGATAGATTGATCCCAATGTGCTCTGACTATTATTGCAGTCAACATGATATTAACAGCACGCATTAGGTAATATACCTAATTCATCTAGATGTGTCATGTTTTCATCTTTCTTGACTCATTCATATTATCTTGCAAGAACTGTCTATTGGCCATAGTTTTTAATTGTTTATCATGTTATGGTAAGTACAAAGTGTACCCCCACTCCGCATGCATTCACATAATGACAACACATGTTAGCTGTGTCATATTTAGTATAGTTAATGTAATGTGTCCAAGAGTCTAATTATTCAATTTTTCAATAATTACAAAGGAAACTGTCCCATAATCATTCAAAGTCCTCTCACCTAGAATTGAGTCCCCTTTAGGGTTCTTGTAATTCATGTTCACCATTAGGTCTCAAAGTTAGGGCTACTTTTCATAGTCTATATACTTTCACAGTGTTTTATAGCGTGATGCCTATTAATTTACATTTGTAATATGTCATCATATCATATAATTCTAGCCAGAATGTTGATGCACCTCATATTGACGATGAATTCAGCATGAAATCCATCCATACATTTTGTTGACAGCAGGATCGGTGTGATTAAATTTCATACATAACAATGTTACATAAATAGGTAAAATTTCGAATCTATGTAATCTCAGTGATAACAATCTTGATTGGCATAATCTGGTATCCACTCCATCCTTATATTTCGATAACAGCAACAGAGCTCACACATTATCATATGTAGCACAAAGACGCAAAGATCAGATCTCCTACTTCAAATAGGTTTAGAGTGGTGACTCAATTTTTTGAAATATTAACAAATTCAGTGAAAGATCATTAAGCAATGATGAGTAATATTCAATGCCCATTTAACATAAACAAATAATTAGATTTTTGCATTTCTAATTGCACCTACAAAAAATCAAATACATAGAAGCAGATAAATCATAGGAAGTTAGATGTTATTTTGTTACGAATTCAAAGAAACAAATATTTGGCCAAATCCATGATACAGGGAAAATATCAACAAAAAAATTGAAACTACATCACAGAAACTAATATTGCCTCGTCATGTAAAAGATTGAAGATTTTACGACAAAATAAGAAAATTGATTTCTGATTTGGGAGATCCACTTTTCCGTATTGTTTGTACCTACATAATTTAATGAATAATTAGCATATATCATGCAATTACATTTAATGAATGGATTAACGTAATTTTTCCGTTACAAAACGATTAACAATCAGATTCGAAAGGGCTTAATTGGTTACAAGATTACTTCTAATAATTTTCACTTATAATTGTAATTTCAGAAACATTGAATTTAGCCTGTGCTTGATCACATTTTTGAGAAAAAAAAGTGTTTTAGAATAGTAATTTTTTTGGATAATGTATGATTAAATAATAAAGAAAAATTTTAAGTTCGCGTGTAGAGTTATTCCATGAGAAATGTATGATTAAAAAAAAAATGAAGCTCGGACAAGGCTAAATACTATAGGAGTGAGTAACATCAAAACTAAATTAAAAACAAGTCCAGAATTGGAGTCAATCATACTCCCTCCGTCCTAATGATGCTGAGTTTCCTTTTTTTCTTATCCCAAATATATAGGTCTGTTTCTTAATTTAGAATATTTTTATTTTATTTATTTACCAATATATTCTTATTTAACTTTTCCCACTTAATATGTCAACTTCTTGAAATAATTCAAATACACACATTTCTCACGTCTTGAAAATATGAAACAACTCTCATTTCTTCTTCAAATTGAATCATTTAATTTCTTTACTAATTTTAACAATAATTTACTACTACACATTAAAAATTTTAAAAAAAAAATTTGACAAAAATTAATTTTTGAATAATATTAAAGAAGGTTTCTTAGTCCGTCCGTGTGATAAACAAAACAAGTTTATATAATTGGATAGTAGGGTGTAATCACTAAGGCTGCAAATAACAATTAATATCTGTGGAAAGTGATCAGTTCAAGGAAGGGGTAGAAAATGAGCTTCCAAGATCTCCAGAATTCCGGGAAGCGATCGTCCCGACAAACTCCTCCTCCGTCGCAGGCGGTGGCAGCCTCTATATTCCAGATCAACACCGCCGTTGCTGGTTTCCGTCGACTTGTGGATGCCATCGGAACCTCCAAGGATACTCCTGATCTCCGTCTCAACCTGTCCGTAATTATTAGTATTCCTTTTCAATTTTTTTTTCTCATTTTTCTGGTTTTTTCCTTTAAAAGTGATATGAATTAAAAGCACTTAGGTATTCGAAAGACCTCCAGCAGCTTTTATTTTTCCCCAATTTCAAAATTTCAAGTTTTTGGCATCAATATATGCTGGATGTTTCATGAATTTTTAATTCGTAAGATTTTAGGAAAAAGCTTTTTTTGTGCTAATGGATACTTTGAGATTTCATCCATATATACCGGGTAACCTGTCATTCATAAAGCAGATGAAGAAACATTCTGAATTTCTCTAAAATACAGATTCATGTAGTTGGTTTACTAACTATCCTTCCTTACCAGGTAATCTTTTATTATACCTTATCCATGTAACTATGTCACTTTTTGTTCGTTCAAAGACTACAAAACATGGAAATGGAGATTTTCAAATGATACCTCTTCGATGGCTTGCAATGTTCTAACCTCAGGGGATTAGGCAATTAGTTTTGCCTCTACTGATTTTCGTGTAATTAAATTCTTTTAATTCGTGTCAAGGTGCCGATTTATTAGAAACCAAACGGTGTGCAAAGTGAAAAGTTCCTTTGCTATACAATACATAATAAGTATTTCCTACATCTTCATAATCATCATTTCGTATTTTTGTGGAAATAAATGGCGACAGGAACAACACAAGACAAAGAATATTGAATATAGTGAAGGAGACCTCTGCAAAGCTCAAATCTCTCAGTGAATTTGACCGTGGCATTAACGTCGATGTATGTTGATTTTTCCCACTAACTCAATGGTTCTTTATATTAAATTTAACTCTTAAGAATTCTTTACATCCCCCACCCCCACCCCCCAACCAACACACTGCCACTTTCGATGTATGCACTCCTCTTAGTCTCACTTAATGTCTTACTGACTTGTTTATTCATAATAGATATGTACCGTAAATTGCAAGCTTCATGTTAATCTCTTGATGTTCAGCTTTCTTTCTGTTTACAATTTAATTTTCATGTACAATCCTGACCTCACTGGTATTCTCTGTCCAATTTGTTATCCAAGCCTTTCCATTTCTGTGCAAGTGCAGTAATTGCTTCTTTCAGCCTTTTCTCTGAATTATGAACATTCTGGTGCAACACACCGCAACACAACATTTCTCCTTTTTCATCCTTTTTCCAATTTTTTTGGACATTAAAATTTTGAAGTTGATTGAATTTTGCAGTCTAATTAGAAAGTGATACTTGAGTTCATATATCGACATTGGAGATACAAACATTTCCAAGAACAAGTATAGTATAATCTAGTGCTCCTTACATCTCTGATATTATTTAAGCAAGAGTGAATTGCGAATCCTTTATTTCTGTTTTACCTTCTACTAAGTTTATGACCTTTAAAATACATGATGCCACCTCAAAATTCATATCAGCTCGCCAAAACTCTAACCTGCATGAAAATTGTATAAGATTTTTGCTTAGCCCCTGCTTGTCATCTATTTTTTTAGCACTCTTTTTTTTCTCAAACTCATTTGCAACCACACATTCATCCAATAAAATATTTTGCACGTAAACACAAAACTTTTTCCTACTTTTTAACCAACACATTCCCCCCAAAAAAAATAAATAAATAAATAAAATAAAATTCACTATCCCAAAATTCATTTTTCTCAAAAAAGTCCTTTTAATGGCTACCAAACAGAGGGTTAATATGGAGATACTAATAATAAATTAAGACTTATTCTCGAAAAATTTGGGATTGATGACAAGAAATTTTTTGCCATTTAATTTATTCCCATCCCATGCCTGCCGAAAAATCCAATGAAATCAAATCTTTTGCGAACATATCATACCATTTTAATTTCATTTCTCTCTTCATCTTCTAACATATTCTGCTAGGACGTTCTTGCGAATTAGTACTTCCTTGGCCTATGCACGATTTGTTCCAACTACTTACGTTGTCTTTCCCTTGATTTACTTAGTGAGTATGAAGCCCACTCCAACTTTGGTAGGTTAGTTTGAGTTGTGTTTCCATAGAAGATTTTTAGGGTAAGACATCAATGACTCACACGAAAATACTCCAGTAGCTACTAGCTCCTGTTGAAGTTTAGAGCCAATCTTTATAGAAGGGCCTTTATAATGAACACTACTTGTGGATGTTTATCCAGCCAAGTAAGAAAATAGAAGATGCCAAGCTTGCTAGAGATTTTCAAACTGTCTTGCAAGAGTTCCAAAAGGTGCAGCAGCTTGCCTCCGAGCGAGAGTCTGCATTCTCGCCTTCTGCTCCTCCATCTTATGTTCCAGCAATGTAAGAGCTTTTATTTTCTGCCTTGGTATGTTAAACTACTTACAGAACTAACTATTTTTATTTAAATGGGTGACTTAATTGGAAATTTGTGCTTTTGAGAACAGGCATAGCTCTGGTCAATATGCAGCACCCGGTGCTGAACAGGAGAACCAGCCGTTTCTCATGGAACAGAAAAGGTAAGCAGGTTTAATGAGAACCGCTTTTACAATTTTCAAATTATGCAATTTATATTTTCTAAAGTCCATATTTAGTTATATGTTTTGTCTTACATAAGCTGAAATTAATTTTTTATGAATATTGAAGGACTTGGTTACAATTCTCAATGTCTATCTAAGTCAGAACTTTGGGAAAATTCTTAGCAGACATCTTCCGTTTTTTGTAACTCAATACTGAATGGAAAAGTGGATGTGCCGAAATGGAACTTTAAAAATCTTACTCCTGAAATCAATCAACTCTGTGGTTGGAAAGATTGACTTTTTAAATTTTGAAAACTGGGCTTATATGACACCAGTTACCAACCAAGAAATTTTAGACTTTCTTGTGACGAGCACGTTCTGCTTTTCCTCAAACATATTACATTTCAGGCAGGAGGTCCTTCTATTAGGAAACGAAATTGCCTTCAATGAGGCTATAATTGAGGAAAGAGATCAGGGAATCAGGGAGATACAGGATCAAATTGGTGAAGCAAGTGAAATATTTAAAGATCTTGCTGTTCTAGTACATGACCAGGGTGTGGTTATTGGTAAAATATCAGACACCTGCTAGACACTTTTATTTCTACAGATGACGTCCAACTTCATACAATAACAATATTATATATGTTTTGGCAGATGACATTCATTCAAATATCGATGCATCTTCTGCCTCAACAACCCAAGCTAGGGTGCAGCTCTCAAAGGCTTCCAAGAGTGGAAAATCTAAATCTTCATGGGTGAGTGGAAACTATACTAGCAAGCTTCAAGCTGAACAGGGCAGTTGTCTTTAAGCCCATTCTTGAATATATTTCATTAATCTGAAAATACTAAAATGGTATATATTTGATGCTTTTTTTTTTTTTTGGGGGGGGGCCCAAACTGAAATTTCCGCCTGTGAACAGTAACATGAACAATATTTTTATTTTTTATTTTTTTGGCAACTAGGATAGGAAATTGAAGGAAAAAACTGAAATTGGGTATGAATAGTAACCCCGAACAGTAACTGAAATTGCAGAAAAAACCTGAATTGAAATTTCCGCCTGTGAACAGTCACATGAACAGTATTTTTATTTTTTATTTTTTTGGCAACTAGGATAGGAAATTGAAGGAAAAAACTGAAATTGGGTGTGAATAGTACCCCCGAACAGTAATTTTTTTTTTTTTTTTGGGAACAACTATGAAGAAGCTGGAAAAATAATAACTCAGTTGCTTACGCTAAAAGTTTATTTGTTTGTGCGGTTCCACAAGTTCTTAGGAAAGAAATAGGAAGAGATTTTTGGATTGGAGATTACCCAAGTTTAAGCTTTAATACCAAATTTGATACAGCACCAATAGAATATTAAATGTAGAATGAGAAGAACAACTAACAGGAAGAAGAAAATCAGGGGGAAGGGATGAAAGAAGAAGAATCAATAGAAGGGGAAGAATAATGGGGGAAGAGAGAAAACTTTCATCACAAGTCACCATTAATTTTATTCAATCATCAACTAATTACATGGAAAAGTAAGTTTAAATAGTAAAACACACCCTAACTAGAATGGGCTTGGGTCAATACAGGCCAATAAAAATCCACAACAAAATAAAATCTACCAAAATGAAATAAGGTTCGTGAAGGAAAAAACTGAAATTGGGTGTGAATAGTAACCCCGAACAGTAACTGAAATTGCAGAAAAAACCTGAATTGAAATTTCCGCCTGTGAACAGTAACATGAACAGTATTTTTGGTTTTTTGGCAGAAATTGAAGGAAAAAACTGAAATTGGGTGTGAATAGTACCCCCGAACAGTAATTTTTTTTTTTTTTTTAGAACAACTATGAAGAAGCTGGAAAAATAATAACTCAGTTGCTTACGCTAAAAGTTTATTTGTCTGTGCGGTTCCACAAGTTCTTAGGAAAGAAATAGGAAGAGATTTTTGGATTGGAGATTACCCAAGTTTAAGCTTTAATACCAAATTTGATACAGCACCAATAGAATATTAAATGTAGAATGAGAAGAACAATTAACAGGAAGAAGAAAATCAGGGGGAAGGGATGAAAGAAGAAGAAGAATCAATAGAAGGGGAAGAATAATGGGGGAAGAGAGAAAACTTTCGTCACAAGTCACCAATAATTTTATTCAATCATCAACTAATGAAATTACATGGAAAAGTAAGTTTAAATAGTAAACCAAACCCTAACTAGAATGGGCTTGGGTCAATACAGGCCAATAAAAATCCACAACAAAATAAAATCTACCAAAATGAAATAAGGTTCGACTAGAAATAAATAAATAAACTGGATGTCCTCATCAATATTTTTCTGTATAAATTCATTGTTTCTTGCATTCATTTCTCCCAAAGCAACCAGTTGAAAGAGAGAAATTCAGATTGCCGAATACAGGGTCTTTAAATAAAAGAGTGTGAAGTTTTGGGAGAATCTTACCAACTTGCAAATTGCAATACGCAGATGAGTTTGTGTGCATACGTGTCACACACAGAGAGAGAGAGAGAGAGAGAGAGAGAGAGAGAGAGAGAGAGAGAGAGAGAGAGAGAGAGAGGTGGGTGTGTGTGTGGGGTAAAAAATGGAGGGGGTGATATTTATTTGGAATGGTGGGACAAGCGAACTATTTGAAGAAATACTAGAATTTAATTCTAATTTTAGAAAAAGGCTCAAGGAAAAAGGTTTTTTTGGGTCCCACGTTAAAACCTTTTTAGAGTAGATTTCTCTTTTCTGCCTTGCTCTTGTTTTTTATGCAAGCAGGAGAAAGAGAAGGAATATTTTGGCATCGAACTTCTAACCCAGGGATGAGAATGCCGACATAGCAAACCATAAATTTTATTTCTTTGTCAGCACTAAACAAAATATCCATACTGGTTCACTAATGCAAAGTTCTTATGGTTATACATGCACCCAATTTGTATTACTTCCATGGATGATGTTTTTTTTTTTTTTAATCACATTGTGGTCGTATGTTATTCACAACAGTGTTGGTGGGTGTTGGCACTTGTCGTGGTGGTGCTGGTAATATTACTCCTCGTCCTAATTTTATAGCTGAAAGTATACATGCAGCTTCGGCGTGTTTGTTTCGAAATTGGTGGTGGTTGGAGTTTAAGCAAAAGTTGTATTAGTTGAGTATGTGCAGTGGTTTTTTCTTTTGTTCTGGTTTTCCTGTTGATTCTTAATTGATAAATTGTTTTAATTGAAGTTTTATATGTTGAAATTTGGCAATTTCATTATTAAGATTCCTATTTTTGCTTGCCATATAAAAAAGTGGACTGCATAGCACTACTAGATAGTATTAAAGCAGAATTTGCCATCGTATGTTATTTACTACAGTAAAGTAACCATCATAAACCTGGAAAAAACTGTTATCATAATAGCTAACTGTTTCTGTTGGTTACTTGGAAATGTATCAATTTTTGAGCTCGACATATCACTACCCTCTTAGTGTGTGAGATGAACCCAAAGAACTCAATACCGAATATACCTTTTTACTTTAAAATGACAATCTTTTCTTTAGTATCTAATGTATCAAATTGGCCAATTTTATCTCCTTTTTAGATGTTGATGGTCCTTATTGCATCACAAGTACCGATTTACCACTTGTTCGGTTTCAGTCCTGCGAAGACTGAAAAAATGTTTGAATCTATGTAATCCTTACGTAATTCATATGTTTAATTAGATAGATATTAATAGAAAGTCCAGTTTCAAAAACATTGTCAGATAAAATAAGAAACAAGTCAAGTTGGGAGGCCAACTTTTGGTTTGAAAAATGAAAATTATTTATGTCGAGCCCACAGAACCTAAAAGAGCTAGATTGAACTAATTACAAATTGTTTTGTATCAAAATGTATTGAAGTATGTGAAATATGCAAAAAATGCTTCAAAGTGTACTGAAAAGTAAGTGAAATGTACCATAATCTATAGTATATTTAGCCTCCGTTTGAGCTCCATTATTTTTCATTACATTAAATTAAATTTTTCTCTTTCCTACTTTTAACCACACAATCTTTAATAAAATAATATTACATGTAAATCAAAAACTTTTCAACCACTCATTTTTAAAAAAAAATACTATTCATCTCATTTGGTAGGTCCCATGATTCGGACCACCCATCCAGGCACTTCATCAAGCTGCACCTATTGCAACCATGGGTCCCCAACAATTTCATCTCTATGCCCTTGTTTGAGCCCCATTTTTTTGGGAAGAATGAATTTTCGAATAGTGTATTGATGGGAAATGTGCGGTTAAAAAATAAGAAAAAATTTTGGATTTGCGTGTACTATTATTTTATTGAAAAATGTGTGGTTGAAATGATGTCAAAATACTGTTGAAAAATGTATTTTTCCAAAAGAATGGGACTTAAACAAGGACTATATGATAGAATTAGCACAAAAGGTTCGTGAGCGACACACTTAAAATGGACCCTCTCAAATTAATGAAACTATAGTGCTCCAAACCACAAATTTGAACATACAACCTTTAATTGATGATGTAACGACCATGGGACATCAAACAATTGAATCAATTGTTCATCCAACCAGGTCAATTTTAATTGATTTTAATGTGGTCCAATATTCAAATTCACTTGGGAGAAATGCCATTGAAGTTCATACAACATTGGGTAACCAATCAATTGATCTAATTACAGCTACAATACCTCCAATTTTTGGCCAACAATTCGTGACCACTATGTTTAATACTTCAATTCGTATAATTCGGTTGGGACCCATGCCTTGGGACCTGTTCCATCACATTCCTCATTACCTAATACACCTTCGTCCCTTATGGAGATGGCTGCCGACAGCGAAAAATCTATATTGGAACTTTTGCATGCAGGTGCAAAAATCGGATGTTGTAAATTCAACCATTTTTTAGGGACATTGGGGCCTAAAAAGGACAGAGAGGGATGGAGATAATCAATAGATTCCTTTTCGGGAACGATTCATCCTTCCCAAGCTCAGCATACAACACAAAATCAATTTTTGAATACCTCACCAATCATCTCAGAATGTGCTAAAACCCTTTTGGTGACCTCCATTCAACCTAATTCTGTCAGCAGATGTGCCTTAGGAATTAAGCCCGACAAAATGCATCTCGAGGCTACGCACCCTACTTTTTTTGGACATCTTTAGGCTATGAGGACTGCACTATTAATCTCAAAACATTCAAAAACCCATGGGCCTGTACATTGGCTTCCAATTTGGTTCAATTAAATGCATTGAATCAACATTGTCCATCCCCTACCACACTTGCACCTAACATGTAGCCCAATGTGTACATCCCTTTAGATGTTGCGGCCCTTGTTGCCCCACAAATCACTACTACATCAATTGCTCAAACACTGCTTGCTCATGGTAAGAAATCATATGCTACTTTGCCTTTTAGGCAAACCTATCATCTCTTAGGCTGAGATGAGCTAAAGAACCTTCAAGTATCCCAGGACTTCAGTGACTATAGCTTTGTTTCTTCTAAGTAACCTTTCATGCATAATGGTTGGCCTACTATTTTATTCATCGAGGAGGAGGATGAGCTTTTATCTGAGCTATACAAGTTCACACTTATTAACAAATTCACTCATCGCAAACCTTCCATGATTAAAGTATGCGATAGTTTTTATAAATTTGGTTTCCATGGTGATTATATGATAGGTCTTATAGGTGTTAGTCATATTTCGATTAAATTTTCACATGAGGATGACTACTCACGGTTATTCCTCAATCTCTCTTGGTACATTGATGTTTTCCTATGCGAGTGATCAAATGGACTCCTAGCTTTAGCCCCCAACATGAGACCCCTAATGCTCCAGTCTGGGTCCACTATTGTCCATTCATTTATGGGGCAAGAGTAGCTTGTTTGCCTTAGCTATAGCAATTGCTGTCTTGCTCCGCATCGATGATGAGGCTGCTTCTGATCTACTTTGACCTAGTAAGGCTCGGGCATGCATTAAGGTCAACCTAGAGTATAAGCTCCTCTATATAGTTTGGATTGAGAATGAAGCGAGGTGGATATTGGCAGACTCTTGTATGACAAGATACCAAATTATTATTTCCGCTGTAGGCATTTTGGGCACATTGATGAGCATTATATGATAGGATCACATCTTAACCACCACCATATATTGCACCAGTTGTTCCTACTATAGACCTTGCTCCTAGACCTACTACACAGTCGGCCAAGGACAAAGGTAAGGGAAAGGAAGTAGTTGTTGGCCTCGTTAGAGAGGGACACCATTTCGTAGAGATCAGAGGAAATAGTATGCAGCTAGTGCTTTAGGCATTCAAAATTCTTCTTTCGCACTAACATTACCAGCTGCGCTTTTCGATCTTATAATGGTTTGCTTCTGTACAAACTCATATTCAATCATTTGTTCCTTATGTGGCTCCTCCTACAGTTACATCTCCACCAATTATTAGCACATTTGCTCCTTAGACTAGTATAATACTGTCACTAGTTTCCACTACAGTTATTCCTTGTCTAGTTACCACTTAGGGTACCAAATTAGTTTGTTACTGATACCTTCTTCTCGGTTTCTTCTCCCATAACCTGAGCTCGAGGAAGGAAGAGATAAGAGGGCCGTATTAAGAATGTGGTTAGAAATCCATAGTAGAGTTTGACCACAATGACCAAATTAATTATCTTCATATATAAGGATACTATATTGCCTAGTAGAAAAGATTGAAAAATCATCGCAAACCTCCCTTCTTTCTTTTCTATTGCAATTTATGGATTATTGTATGATGATTTTTGAACTTCGCATATATACAAAAGAAACAGAAAGAGAGATTAGAGATGACATCTGTTACCTGTTTTAACAAATAAATTTATTAATTAAGAATTTTTGAAAGAGGAATAAATGGGTTTACACAAAAAGGATGCTATAAATATTTCGAATTGGGTTATACTATTCAGAAGCCACATATACCAGTTGACTCAATGATAAAGCTACTACGGTAGCATATATTATAAGTCCTACTCCAAGTAGGACTCAGAACTTGTTGACTATTATTCTTTCCAATTGTCAACAGAATGTGGAGACATCATAGATCGAGGTCCACCAGCAGCACCCTTTTCCCAGATCTTCCTCTGATAACTTGGTTAGTATGGATGAGAGGACAGAGGATGTTGGTTTTGTCCAAGTCGGTCGGAAGAAACACCAAAAATACTGACACCCCATTTCCTAATATGGTGGCTAGTAGTCGGTCATAGGATATCTCCACATTTTCCATCCTTATGAGTGTCATCATATGGAATGTGAGAGGTGTAGCTAGTGTATCTACTCTAATAGCCTGAAGAGACTTAAATAGCTTCATTAGGTTTATCTCTTGGTCATATTGGAGCCCTTTAATTTTTAGCATAGATTTGAATATATTCTACAGTTGCAATCTTTTGTTGAAAATTACTGTGAGGCATCTGAATCGAATTTTATCTTATCACTCGTCTTTCCTACTGTAGTGGACTTCTGATGATGAGTTGAGACCTTGGCCTTTTCGATTCCTCAACATATAGACCAAGTATCACAATTTTTCAGCATTTGTCTCTCAGAAGTGGTTACTCCCCACTCATCTTCCGGGAATGACTACTCTTTGGGAGAAGTTCTTTAGGTTGAAATAGGGGCTACATTGTTGGAATCGACATGTTTTTCAGTGTGTAAGGGACGCTGATGTTAGGGTCTTATGGTAGAGATAGAGTATGGCAAAGACACTACACTAAAACTTCGTGACTTACTATATCATGCACAAATAGATTTGAATCGGACCTTATCTACTGATGAAGGCTTTTGGAAGTAAAAGGTCGATTCACGTTGACTATGTAATAGAGAACACAACACTCAATACTTTCGTGTGAAGGTCCAAGGTCGGCGCACCAGGTCACGTATTAGGTCTATCGAGGCTTAATCAAGGGATGTACTAGCTATTCATGTTGACAGAGTACAAGCGATACAAGCAGATAATATGGCACTAAATCTTCCCTTTTGATTCATATGGTATGGGGTGATAGAGTACACTCATTATGCTAAAGCTTGACATGGCTAAAGTATATGATCACATGGACTAGGAAATATATCCTACATTGGAGGCTTTTGGTTTTGATTAGATTTGGATTGATAGGATGAGATGGTATGTCTCGGAGTGTCGTTTCTCAGTGCTTCTAAATGGCCATCCCTTTGATTTTTGCTACTTACAAGATCTCAGACCTGGTGATCCCATTTCTCCATCATTGTTCATTATTGT